TCTCCTAGCAGGTTTTAATCTAATATGCAAAACAAAGGGAATCAGGAAGCAACAAAAACACCTTCTTCCACTTTCTTCCTTGTTAAATTGCATTTCTTTACATTCCAAGTTATTAGGATGCTGGTAATGTTTTTGCTTTTTAACAGCTGAGCTGAAATGTGCAATCTGTATCTTTGCCTTTGCTTTGGGGCATGAATACACCATGGCTTTTTTTCCTAATTAGCTCTCTTGTCAGTTTGTGGTTAACCAATAGTTTCTTGCAACAATAATGTGGTTAGCTCATTTCACTTTCAAACCATTAGCAATATCTTGTCCTTTTCCTTTCCCGTTCAACAACTCAAGCAAAGTAATTCTTGTTTCCTACTTTCAAATGTGAGGTCCAATTGGAAGAACGAAACAACATAGTAAAGCTCTTGTGGTTAATAGTTCCCATATTTATTCTGGTAATAACATTCAGAATTTCCCAAATGCAATCCAGTTTGGAATACATAACATTTCCCAAGGATAAAAACAAACTTTCATGGACCTGTAAAGTCAATATGTAGTAGATCATTGCAGTTTGTTGTGGTACGACTAGGAAATGTGGGGCATGAGCCATTGCTGTTTACAAAGAATGAACTGAAGAACATGTTGAAGAGGTTGGCCTTGACAGCTTCATCACTACATTTGGTCCTTTTAGGGGTGGGAAGGTCCTTGAGTCTTTAACATTTTGTGTTTACAAAATTGTAAAAGGTGCAGGTAGATTTTATGTGTAGGAGGTTTTCCTCTTGCTTGCAGTGGTAATTGGTGCATTCTGCCTTTATCTGTTGGCATAAGGTGTTGTATCTGCTTTTAAAGTTTGCTATGTAGCTGCTTTTGTCTTTTTGCCATAGCGATTTTTTATTGAAGTTTTCTTATTGTTATGGGCAATTTTTTTTGGGGGGGGGGGGGTTTGCTAATAGTACATATAGTTTAATGACTCTTTTGAGTTCAAGCAAGAATGTGTTATAATGGTCTTCTGTAGTATTACAGCCAGAAAACAGAATATGCCAATCAAGAGATGATAGGTTGGCAGCTATGAGATCATAGTTGGCTTTTTTGAAATTGTATTTTGGGGAACCATCATGATGATCCTCTTTGTGAGACTGTAAATTGACACAAAAGTCAATCATGCTGTAGTCACTGTTCGAAAAGGGTTCTTGTGTTTGTAGGCCATAAATTGAGTTTGAGTGGACTTCTGGTTTGGGCTTCTTTGGCGATGGATCGAAATCCATTATCGATCCGTGCTTGCCTACGGAGTGCCTCAATCTTTTGGATTCAGGGCTGAAGTCACCCCGTAGAGGTGGCGAAGAGGGAAGAGACTGCCAGCTGAGTTGAGGGGAACGGCATCTCTCCTCCTCGGATGGCCATTACTCCCTTTCCCAAAGGCGGTTGCAGCAGTGGTCAGAAATGACCACCTCAAAGAGGAACCCGACTGGACAAGATTGAGCAGGAGGGAAGACAAAGGGGAGAGCTTGACAGACCAGGCTAAGCAGAGACAACATCTATGCAAGGTACCCTGGAACTAAAAATATTAAGAGTGTTATTCCTAAAAGATTTTTAAAGCAGCGGAAGAGAGGGGAAAAGGAAAAAAGAATTTTTTTCTTTCTCATATTGACAGTTACAATCAGCTTTGAATGTTAAAAAGAAGAAATTTAAGTAAGAAATTTGTATTAATTTACTTTGACTCTAACAGGCAATTTTAAGCTGAAATTAAAGTGTCAAAGGGAAAATAAAGATTTTCTGGATACTCTAAAGCCTTCAAAGGAGGAAAGTGGAGGGAAAAAAGAAAGGGTGGAACTTGGGAATAACAGAAAGTGCCACCTGGAAATAAAAGGAATTAACAGTGAAACTTTAAAAAGACTTCCAAAGGATATATTGTAACTGAAACTTTGTTAAAAGATAACAGAGCCCCGGAAAGGAAAAGTGGAAGAAAAAAGCAAGAAGAAACAGTTTACTTGGTGATTTTTGGAATTTTGGGTGTTGGATTTTTAGTGGTTTGAATTAAAATTAATCGGGTGGTTGTTTAAAAGTGTTTAAAATGGCAGTACTCCTTGAGGAATTAAAAATGGAACTTAAAAAAATGAAAGAAGAGTCGCAAGAGGGAGGAGGATCCTTTGGCTTCACACTTCAATTCTTAGAAATGGAGATTTTGAACTATGAAAAACAACAAGAAACGCTTGAAGAACAAGAAGGGTTGGACAAAGGAGAAGCCATAGTTAATGATCAAACAATGCAATGTGGGGTAAAATGGGAAAAGGGGGGAAAGGAGTTAAAATTCAAGATTTGAGGAAACAACTAAAAAAAGAATAGTTTGAAAAGTAAACACAACATTAGGAAGAAGCAGAAGAGAGGATTACAGAAGGGAGATTCAGAGAGAGGGGGCAACAAAAAGGGTGGTGAGAAAAAGAGGGGAAAGATAAAAAGGGAAAGAAGTTATAAGGGATAGAAACAGGAAATAAAGAAACAGGGGAAATGTAGAAGAATTAAAGGTATTAGCCTACTTAAAAGACATAGAGATAATGGTTAAAAATATAAATTAAAAGAGAGGATTCTGCAAGGGTACAAGAGATAATGTTGTTATATTAGAAATAGTAATGAGCTAGAAAATATGAAACAGGTGATTAAAGTGAAAGACAAACTGGTATTGTTATGTAATGGAGTGCTTACTAATAATTAAATGTAATAAAGAGAAAAAGGGAATAAAAGTAAAAGAAGTGGAAATAAGAGGAATGAATGAAAATACTTTAATTGTTCTTAATGATTTATAAAATACAATTGAAAAGAAATGCAAAAGATTTATAATGAAATCAATATCAGTTGCCAGGATGAATTTGAATAGAATAACCATTTCATTCATTATTTTTATATATTTTTTCTTTTTTTAGAATTTAATGTGCATTCTTAAGGGGAAGTACCAAGCGGAATTCTGTTGATAAGAGTTATATGATATAAAAGAGATATTAGAAACTGAATGTTATAATTGTATAATGTATAAATTAATGAGATTTGAAAGGATAATAACTATAAGATTTAAAGGTGACACACTCTACTTGGTAATCATAGGGGAAATCTTGCTTTTTAATGCCTGGAAGGGGAGGGAATTATCCTTTTTCCTTTCCCTTTTGGGATGATGATGGAAAAAGAATATATGAAATTGTAAACAGGACAGACAAAAGTACGGGTATAATGACTAGAAAGATATAGAAATTTAGAAAAAGATATGTAATTGAATTAGAAAGGAATGAGACAATCATAAAATAAGGTTGAGGAAAGTAAGGGAAAAGAAAAATTATTGAGAAATTGATAAAATGGTGACGCGATATGAAATTGAATATATAAGATGAATATGTAACTGAGATTATGTCTGTATGGAGATGTGATAACCTGGAATCATGCTGTTCTCAAAAAAAGATGTTTTATTTTCATTATGTTTTGTGAAAACCCAAATAAAACTTTTACAAAAAAAAAAAAATGAGTTTGAGCTGTTGCAGAATATGAGGTCGAGGCAGTTGTTGAGTCTAGTGTTTTTTGTTACTAATTGATCCAGTCCCAGTAGTGTAGTAACGGTATTGTACAGGATTGCATGTATGGGTTCGGATGTACATTCATTTAGGGTCTAATTTATAAGAGGTAGATTGAGGTCACCAAGGAAAATAAGAGGGTGTGGGCAAGAGACAGCCCACATTAGCAGTGAAGTTAGCTTGTTTGCATGAACTATGTCATAATCAGGGGCTCTGTAGCACATAGTAAGAAGTGGATTTTGGTATTTAAGGACAGTTCAAAGCAAGCTCCTGTGTAATTTGAATATTTTTTAGATTTAGGCACTTTTTATAGAAGATAGCAACTTCACCTTCTCTACGGATTTTGCGATCTGACCAATAAATGTGACATTCTCTTACTGTGGTAATGGAGTCTGGAAAAGATGCATTCAACCACGTCTCACAGACAAATATAATGTTGAATGTGGCCATGCTTAGTAAGGTGAGGAATTCATGCATTTTGTTTGTGAGGCTTCTTGCATTGAGTAGTTTGCATTTAAGATATGTAGTAGTGGGTCTGGAGGAAATAAGGGGCATGCATGCCTAATGTTGGATGTTGTGGTGATGGTTATTGGGATGTAAGTTGTAGGTCTTGCTACTATGGTGTCATGGGATGTTATTCATGTTTCTGTGGTATCAACTCTTTCGAACAGGGCAATATATTTGTCCAGTTTGGGTCTGCATGGTGGGCAGAAATATGGAAACACAGGAGTGGATGATTTTAGGAATTGAGCCATTTGCTTGGATAATCCTAAGCATCTATGATGAGCTTAGTTGTCACATAAAGAACATTTGGTGGAATCTTCATTCTCCTTTAAAGTTTCTTTACATATAAGGCATGTCTTGTGGTTCATTGGTGGGGATTTCTTTCTTTTTGGGTTGTGGTTTGGCATTGGATTGTTTTCCAGGGGGGTTTGTTGAGATGGTTCGTTGATTAAATTGTTCAATCAAACAAGATATTAGGGTAATTGATATAGGCAATATCACACCAATCAATCAATTACACTAATCACACTAGTCAATTAATTTAACTAATCAACAATTACCCTAATCAATTAATTACACTAATCACTAATCACACTAGTCAATAAATCGCACTAATCACTAATTTTACCAATCAATTAAATTACACTAATCACTGATCATTTACACTAATTGGTAATCACATTATTTGTATTGAACACTCTAATCACCCTAATCAATCAAACAATAAATCAGCTAATCAATCTAATCAATAATCACTAATCACTAATAATCTGTAATAATCTTGGCGATACCAAAATATGAGACCAAGCTCACAGTTTAGTGGAATCTACTCTGCCATGGATAGTTTTTTTTTTTCTTAGGGGAAATATTGTAATTAAATTTTGTCTGCCAGAGATTACCAAGATGTATTCTGTAGGTAAATAAAGAACTAAAAACTGAAATTTGAGGTGCTAACTTTATTTATGATACAGAAATAACAATTTCCATTAAGATGAATAATCTTTCCTTATTTTTCATAATATTTCATTATCATTATAATAAGCTGTACCCACCAAAAGGAAGGAAAGAAAAAAGAAATGAAGAAAGAAAATTTCTCGAAATAACCAGGAGTAAAACAGTGTAGTAATATCTTGCTGTTTTCATCTCTTGATCAAGAAACACTTCTGAGGCTGATGAAGGGATCAGAAGGATGTTGCAAAAAAGTTTTACATGGAGTTGCCAAACCACTTTCATCAATGGAGAAGCCTGTTAATGGATTACAAATTAAATATTAAACTTGACACTATAATAGTAATAAACTAGCATCTGTGTTTCTCATTAGCAAACTAGTTCAACATTTTGCTGGAGACAACCTCAAGGAAGCAACCAAATTATAAAATAAACAAAAACTTCTGTCAGCCTAGGTTGGAGGAACCCTAGTTGTCAATGGATGGCTGAAGAATTTAAAATAAGCGTTAAGGACCAGTTACTACAGGAAGATTCATGAAGTATAACAATGCCAGCAAATTAGGTTTGCATGTGGCTGATCAAAGTTTCTGGTAGCTAATCTGAAGCAAAGAACTCAAAGGCAACTGAAGTGAAAGCAATAACACCTTCTTCACCCAAGAAAGAAAGAAGGGAAAGAATGGGGAGAAGATTAGGCTACAGGGCTAAAGGGAAGGGAGCATGGAGGATATTTCCTTTTTCATCAAGACCATGATAATATGGAATCCAGTGTATCCTTGAGAAGAAAGTACTACCTGAATCCTGGAGCTTCTTATTTTGGGTCCACACAGCGCATTGCACAACAAGAGTAACAACATTTCTTCTTTTTTTTACAACCATAATCTCTCCAGCACTCATCAGGCTGAGGACCAGTGCATCTGCAGCGATCGATTGGACAAACCCCTGGCTTCTGTTTAACTGGACCATCTGTTAATGTCATAGGGGAAATATATTGTCAAATTATTATATCATATCATGTCATATATCATATCATATATCAAAATTATTACATTTATTATTATAATTAATTTTAATATATCAAACATATACATATGCATGTGTGTATACACACTCACACACACACACCATCAGTCAATTTCAAAAGGCAGTTTTATATAAGAGCCATGGTCTTTCAGTGATGAAAATGCAGTATTGCAGGCTAACTCTGCTCACTGCCAGCAGTTTGATCAAGGTTGACTCAGCCTTCCATCCTTCCAAGGTCAGTAAAATGAAGGCCCAGATTGTTGGGGGCAATATGTTGACTCTGTAAATAACTTAGAGAAGGCTTTAAAGCACTTTGAAGCAGTATATAAGTCTAGGTGCTATTGTTATGTATATGTGTGTGTATGTAAGTACATGTAATTAGCAGACAAAAAATCCTCATTGTTTTCAATAGCCAAATTATTACCAAAGATTGTTGAAACCCATTTTCCAGAAGACTAATAGCAATAGCACTTATCAAAATGAATTGTAATTTTCTCCAACCAGAAAGGCCTGCAATATGTTATAGGTTAAAAATGTGTCAAAACGGCTCTCTCAAATAGACAGATTAAAAGTAAAGATGAAGGCATAAAACTCTGTGAGGCTTCCTTCTCTTTCCTCCATCAACTCAGTTCACCAAACAGCTACGTTTATATCTCACCTATTGGAAGGTCGCTCCCAGTTGTGGAGAGGGATCCCATCCAAAGTGCTAGAAGGCCCACAAGGAGAAAGGTGGTGAGCAGCCTCATGCTTTCCTTCAGATTCAGCAAATGACTTAGAATGATCAAAAACTACTGCTGGGCAGAGCAGCGTATGAAAAGAAATGTGGTTAGGGCTACAGTTGCACAGAACTGCTATCAGAGTTTTGCCAAATTGGTTTGTATGCTTCAATTCTGTCTCCTCCCCTCAAACGGAAGCAATTCTTCTCATTTTTGTTGAAGCAGAAGCTAGGGTTACAATAGGTAGCAGCATTAGTAATTGCAATATTATGGCATAGTCCAAATCATGATCACCCTTCCACGTCTGTAAACTCTGATGTCCAATAAAAGGAGATGTTTTTGTCCTCGACCTCTGTCTAGCAAATATATATATATATATAGATAGATAGATAGATAGATAGATAGATAGATAGATAGACAGACAGACAGACAGACAGATAGATCTTTGGTTATTCGGGTTTTCTCCCGCGTAAGATTTGAAGTATCTAGGCAACGTTTCGATGAAGTCTCATTCATCATCTTCAGGCTTATGTCTTCCGCTCTGTGCTTCTTTTACATCTGTAAAAGCCTGACTCACAGATGAACACTATACAGAAGCCTGATGATGGCAGATGAGATTCTGCTGAAATGTTGCTACAACTTTCAAATAACAACTACAATGACGTGGGAAAATACCCGAACAAAGCTGAATGCCATATATATATATATATATATA